TTCCTGCTTTGTTTTGTCCAAAGCGCTGATGCCTGAAAGGACAGGAACAACAGCAGTAGTGTAAAAATAAATAAATAAATAAATTAATGATCGTGTTTGCTCTCATGTATTCATCAGTCTAACTGCATCAGTTAATAGCTAACGTGCACTTCATTAACACGAGCCACCTTTTCCGTTTGGGGTCCTGCTAGGTGTGAGTTATCCAGGAGGTACACCACTGTGAAGTACTTTTATACCGTAATGCAGCATTTCTTCACTATGAATTTTCTAATGGTGCAAAAAACACTGTGATTGACAAGCTGCAACAGAAGTGGCTGGCTTGGGGAAACTGCCTTTAATTCTTGGTCAGTTTAAGTACCTTGGCCTGGAACTGCCCAAAAATTCAATGTACAGATGTTCCAAGAGGCACTTCTCTGCAATATATCCAGCTATGGATGTGTTGACTCCAGGAAGGGAACAGAGCCCACTTTCCCTAACTTTACATTTGCTTCCTGGACAGTAAACGCAACGTCCATCACATGTTAAATGTGTTAAACATCATTGCCTGTAGCACTTTTTAAAGCACAACAGGCTTGAATTCGTCTCTACTCCAGGTACTCCTGCAATAAAGCCAAAGTAGATGAATACGACTCATTTTTTTAAAAAGCCAGAGATCTTTTTTTGTAGCTTGTAGTCCTGTTAACTTTCCCGTTTTCTTCATTATGTCTCAAAAGGCTGTTCCTGAAAGTGATACCAGGCTTTCTGAAACGGAAGCGCGTTTCTTGATAATTTACTTTTCGGACTTGCTTCTTGCAGTCTCTCCTGCCCCAAATAAATGATCTTGACGAAAAGTGTCTGCCATACAGGTTGTAGAATATGTGTACTCTTTCAGTATAATTCAGGTGGCTCAGGGTTGTGGGGCCCTTGTCAGGAATGGGCTACAGACTGAAGGAATTGCTCTGGCTATGGGAGCCTGCTACTGGATTCCATCTCTCTCCTGTGTGTCTGAAACCTCAGAAGAAACGGAGTCCGTTATATGCAGCACTTATTTGGTCCAATGATTTTTGGAAGATGGGCCTACTGTGTGTGCACAGCGCATATAATATGGATGGGCACAGTAAGTGCCACTCTATTCAAGGAGTGATGGGTGTATTCTACTTGTGTAAATCAGCTGTTCTGCTCAGGTGTGATCGGTATCTCCCTGCCCCAGCCTAGAACTAGAAAGGCTTGGCACAGCTTTTCCAAATGTGTCTGTGCGATGTCTCTTCAGTTTGCCCGGGTCACTCGGTTAAATAAGGTATTTCTGCTAGTTTATATGGAACTGTTCAAATGTGTCACTTCCATATGTCTTTGGAAAGGCTAGTTGTCATAGTGCTGTAGGGAGGCATGGCTAAATGGTGCAGCCTTAAACATATGTCTGACTTGTCTATAGTATGATGTGGAAGATAGGTAAAGTCTAGATGTAATTTCTGAGGAGCTGAAGGAAATAATGTGGAAACAGATGTTTGACGTTGCATGCTGTTCTCTCCTGAAATCTGTTGTGAAGTTTGAAGGGTTATTGTTACAACGTTTGACCCTTCTGTACACATACTGTTTGGTATTTGGCCAAAACTTGTTATAGCTGTATTTTTACCAAGACTGGTGACCTTTTGCTTATCCAGGGGAAAGATTTTTTGGTTTGTTTGTTTCTGAGAAAGGACTTGTACGTATAAATCCTGAGGGAATTGTTCGTTTTTATTTCTTCACTTGACTGTTTGTCTCCTTCATACAATATATTGGCTAAATTTATTGGGCAGGAGGTTGTCAACTACTTTCCAGGGGATAGCCCTTCCTGTTCTCTTCCACTGCCCCTTTCACAGTCTCTTGTAGCTTTTGGTGCTCTTCAGTGTCTTAGTGGCCGTCTTGATTCTTTTTTTTTTTCCACCAAAAAAACCTCTGTTACAAAAAGATAAGTTAGTTGTTCTTATCTTCTTGGAGAGTTTTCAGGGTTTGCAGTTGTGGATATGAGTAAGTATAAGACTATGGAAACAAATGAATTAGGATTTGTCGTCGTCTTTCTTTAGTGTTTGAACATCAGACTTACTCTATCAGTGCTTTTGATCTGGTTGAGTTCTTATTTCTCTCAGCTTTGTATGTACTTTTGTACTTCTCCATGCTCCTCTTGCACAGCATGAAAAGCTTTTCCTCAGAAATGTGCTTTACGCGTTTCTGTTACCAATGGAAAAAGAAAATTATATATAGATATTGGACTTAAAAGTATTAATACGATACAGGATATAATTTTCAACTTCTGCCAAGCTGATGACAGCTCTCTGTTATGTACAACTGTCTCTGTGACATTTTTACTTTCGATGTCATCTAGTTTTTCTGGAATTGAACATGAAGAAATTGAAACTCTTGTGTCTCTGCATTGTTTCAGTGGGGTGTGTTCCCCCATTTGACAGTTTGCTTGGTGGGTACCTTTCTGTTCTGTTTTGACGATTCTGGCACTTAGGGTCAGCTTTGACTGGATGCTTCTTTGAGACATCTGTTGGTTAGACTGCTAAGATTTTATAGTGATCTAATAAAGATATTTTTGGAGGAAACTTCTTGTATCTTGCTGTATTGCATAGATTGGTAACAAAGACAATACTTATACCAGCATTTGTCTTATATTTTCATTTGTTTAGATTTGCTACTCCTGTTCTTTTGGATTTTAGGAAATCCTGTGTCTTCTTTGTGTTAAGAATCTAATGAATATTACTTTTCTTCATGGATTTTCTGTTGGCTTTCTGGGAAGCAACTTGCAGAGAATCTGTGTGGTTTTCTTCTCTCTTATTGTTATGGTATCTAGGTATCTGTGGTATCTAAGCTTACTAACAATTAAGAAAAGCATTGGGCTTTTTTGTTTTTAGCCGATGTCAGAAAGAACATGGGAATCTGTTCTTATGCTGTAAGCCTGGTAGGCACCATTGCATTTTCTCCTGGTAAGTTTCATGGCCCAGCGCTAAGGGACTCTATAGCTGACAGTGCCATGAGGGTCACGGGGACTGAATAATCTGTTTGCCCTTTGAGCTGCCCATATGCCTGGGATGAGGTAGATTGGAGGGGCTGTATGTTGCTGATGGTATCCTGCACTACCTCATACTTACTCCAAACCTGCTAAAATTAGAGGGCAAGTTTCTACTGACTTGAGGAGGTTTTGCTCAGGGCTGTATGAACAGTGGACTGTGAGTTCTATTTTCTGTCCTACAAGCAGATTACCTGAATTTACAAAATAAGAAACAAGAAAAACTATGTAACTTCTATATACTTGTAAGGGTTTTAGAAGCATTGGTTCTTCTCTAGCTGCTCAATGCTTTCTTATTAAAAAGCAGTATTTGTCTGTTTAAAATCAAAACAAAACGAAAACTAACTTAATGACAGTGACAAAACACAGCTTAAATTTTCAGAAAACTTAGATCTTCAAAAGATAAACCCTTTGGAGTTCAGCTCTCTAAGTGAGACACTGAGTATTGTAAACATGATGAAGCATGAAAGCAGTATTTAAAAAAAAAAAAAGGCAAGAAGTGTTCAAGTACATTAACACCGAACAAACCAACAATTCAGATGATGTGTACTATACTGCTCTAAAATATTTGA